CATTGTATATAACCCTATTCAGAGTATGGCATATTACAATGTAATATTCTGCACATCATTTCCATATCAGCTATCTATTTATAGCCTCCCTCTGTTGGAAAGTAAAAATATTCAAAACCAACAGATCAGCTTTTTCTATGTTCTACATACATTCCAAAATCAACCTTGAATACTAATAATTCAATAAAAAAATATCCTAGACACATACAGCACCCTGTACAGTGCAATGAGAAAATGATCGTCTATATTCATTTAAAAATGAGGTACAAATTACATGTTAGCCTCAGCAGCGGTGTATTTTGGATTTGTGCTGTCCTAGGCACGACTAAATTCAGGCACCCCCAAAATCTAAATTTGCCCCCGCCCCCCAATTCGTGTCAAGGCCACTTTTTTGACTGACAGATGTAAGGAAGTGAAATGGTTAACTCTTTTTGCTTTATATGCTTTAAAATAATGTTTGAAATAATTATGCTGACTTTGGCAGATGTATTTTGTACCAAGGTCTTTCCTCTACAGGATGTATGACCTTCCTTGACCTTAGGATGTTCCTGTCTCGTCTTCATCCAAATGCTTATCTTTTTCATGTCCAACAAGTATGTACTATTAACCACAAGGACACTATAGACTTCACTGCTTGCATGAGAAATTGTGTATAAATGCTAGCCCTGAAAATATACTCATTGAGAACTTGTTATGCACTCTTTCGTGTCTGTGTGTCTTATTTGCTAAACAAGATCTCCCATCAATTGATGTGGTGATCGAAGGAGCGAGAATCGAGGGGAGTTGAGTCCAGAACAGCATTTATCCTTTCAACAGACACATGCCCTCATTGATACATGCACTGATATACACTCACTGACAGATACACAGTCATTGGCACACAAATACAGTCATTGGCACACACTTTCACTGACAGACACACACTGACAGGCGCACACTCTCAGATATACATAAAATGACATACACACACTGACACACACTCACAGGCACACCTATTCTCACTGAAACACACACACTTTCACTCACAGACACACACTGACAGCTACACTCACTCACTCACTCATAGTAAGATGGACAGCCCCAGAACATGAGACAAACAAGGCATTTGTCTGGGAGCATGGTCTGGCGTTTCTTGGCGCCCCGTCCCCTCCCCCCGAAAGTGCCGCCCTAGGCAAATGCCTTGTTTGCCTTGTGGTAAATACATCCCTGAGCCTCAGTGAAAATTAGCTGTAGACAGAGATAGTTTTCTTCAGGATCATAACAAACTAACCCAGACTCATCCAAAAGTACCCATAGTGACCTAAAATGGGGAGTGGGAGGACAGCATGACCCTTTGTTAGGATGTGCCTGGGCACAACTTGCTCACCTGTTACGCACACCAATGAAAATGATTACTGGGGGTATATCACAGTCTTGACATTGCCCCTTTTCACACCAGAATGCTCTGTTTTTATGTAACATGGACGGCTACGCATATAAACGTTTTTTACAACAAATGTTTTATCCACAAAGTGAAAATTGTCTTTAACCTGCAGGCTACTTTTACAACACTTTATATAATGTTTACACTTTACTTATTTGTCATTTTGTAATCTCATCATGTTCTAATGCTGCTCTTTCTTATTGGTCTGTTCAAATTTTAGATGCTCATATTACAACACTGGAATAAGCTTTCATTTGCAAGCTCAAATAGTAACCATGACGTTAACAGGAAGAATCCATTTTCTATACTCTGCGCTCCTCTTTAGACCAGTGATTTACTTATCAGCCCTTGGCTTGATCATTTAAAATTATAAAAACACAATATTATATTCACATATTATAGTCTTAAAATAGTGACCCGTCTGAGCAAGATGCATTTTCAGCAGGTTCTGCCATGCAGACACTGAATCCATTTCTTATCAGTGCTATCCTAAAACTCAATAATTTTATTTAAAAAATTAATATTTTCCACTTTTGGTGAGTTTCAATGTCGCAACCTATGTTTTGGCAGAAATCATGGCCTTTAATAAACTGCTAGTCAAGCCATGGGCCCAGTTACTGCCACAGCCCTCAGAAGGCATAGATACTCCCAGAGAAGCCGGTAATCTCCAGTACAGCCCTATTATAACTTCTGGACACCTCTCCTATAAATTTCAAAACCAATTTGGCAAATATTTTGTTTTGTCTTTTCTGACAACCACCATTTTGGGTCGTTCATCTGCAGTTACAGATAGTTTCCTTCCTTATACTTGGATGGGACTCTCTCCTAATATCGGCAAGAACTAAATACACTTTAAATAAAAAAATAAATACAAATCTTTATTTACAAGAGATCAGGAAGACACGCAACAAATATCTAGTACCGTGACAACAAAATAGCAATGAAGACTGTCGTCTGTGTGTATTCATCCTCTTTCGTCTGTATTTTTAGATTTTTACACACAAAACAAGTCTTTACAATCATTGTTTTGAGTCGTTCACATTCCTTCTTTGCCAAACAGACGTGGCAGTAGCTTGAGGTGTATTTTGGCTTTTTATCTGACTAAGGAATACATGTCTGCCATAATCCTGGTGGAGGTCCATGACTCTTAAGACTGCTTTGATAGCTATGTTGAGAGGAATTGCCATAAACACACCGATTCTCTCTGCAGCAGAGCAACCACAGAATATAACATTGCATTCACTTGCAGAACTAATGCACCTAACTTGTAGTACACATTTAATGTTACACCCGGAGTCTGTAATGACATGGACGAGGGAAGGAAAGTTTTTGGGTAGTATGTCACATACAACACCCAACTCCCAGTACATAGAGGGGCACTAGGAAAGGTTTGGTTGGGCAAAAAGGTTTTTATTTTTATTTTTTTTTATTTAGAGATTCCTACTTACAATGATAGCAGAAACGTTAAGAAATTATTACAAGGGACATGGTGATGTTAAGATGTATTTTTTCCTACAAAGATCAGTTTTTTAGGTTATCAAATCCCTTTCAACTGAGTAATTTTCAGTCAAAGTCTTTGCTATTAAATGTGAAATTTGCAACAACCGTTTGGCATATTAATGTTTCTCTGTGGAATATTTCAACTAAATTAAATGTAATTAAATATGGAACAAGACTTTGAATAGGGGTTTGGAAGAAACACCGTAAAAAAACAGGAAAAATGAATTACGGCTGGATTTGGTATAATAGGAAGCATTACTAATTCTATGGATATTCAAACATTAAAAAAAAAATGGAAACGGTAGGGTTAATATTGGGAAAAGGATTAAAAATATAAAGAGGTTTAAATCAAATCCGAAATGGAAAAATATGGTGATGAACACAGCCTCTGTTCAACATTTACAGGAAGCTACTCTGGCATTAATGAGAAATACAGATTCATTATAGGTAGCCAGAGCTTGTTTGGAGATACAAGGTGGATATTCTACAGATTTTAAGGTGATGGCACAAGCATTACAAGGTGGTGTTACCCCTAGAGAAATTAAAATAGTTTACCTGAGGAGTTTGCGTATCTTAGAAATCATATTGATTTATGGGTTAACATATGGTCGGGATATCGCAATGATATGTGTATAAGTTGTTCTTTGATACCAATTTGTGATATTGAAAAAATAAAAAAACTATATGCAATGTCTAGGGATTCCTTGTAGTAACACAAAATTATTATTTTATAAATTACAATATCCTGGTTTTGTATCTTATAATAACATTACTGGACTTGAACAGGTACATATTTCTAGTTGTCTACATTTTGCATCTAAAATAATATGCTTAACCAAGTTGAAAACCATTTATCATTTATAACCAAAGTTCATGTTCTGGTAGAATTAAAAATCATAAAGAAAGAGAAAGTATGTATACAAGTTATATTAAATAATGAGTTAGTGCTACGTTTCTCGAGATGTACACATTCATAAACATTAGGTAAAGGTTTCTATTGTATCGATAGAGGTTTACTAATAATACATACATATACAAGAAACTTAAAGGGACACTGTAGGCACCCAGACCACTTCAGCTCATTGAGGTGGTCTGGGTGCACAGTCCCTTTTGCACTTAGTGCTGCAATGTTTACATTGCAGCTCTAAGTTTGCCCTCAGTTGCTGTTTACCAGACAGCCACTAGAGGGCTTCCTGAATTGAAGAAGACCTTTGGTTTGGTATCTGACACTCACGCTCTGCATGAGGACCTGCAGCATCAGATTTTTCACCATAGGAAAGCATTGATTCAATGCTTTCCTATGGGGAGATCTAATGTGCACGCAGCATTTGCTGCGCATGCGTATTAGACACCGCTTGTCGCAGGGCAGAGGTGGGGGTAGAGTGTCGACCCAGTGCTGAAGAACACCGGCGCTGGGAAAAGGTAAGTAAATAAAGGGGTTTTAACCCTTTATTTACCGGGGAGAAGTGGGTGCGAGGAAGGGAGGGGGGAGACAGCGGGAGCGATAGTGCCAGGATTACAGCTTTGTATTCCTGACACTATAGTATCCCTTTAAGTTATTGTATCGATTAATAGTATACAAGAAGTAGATATCATGCCTATTCAATTTAATGTTTCGAAAAACTAATGAGTTTCCGTGGAGAAAGTGGGCAGATAAGATTAGGAAAGACAAGGTCTTATTATATTCATTGCAAAGCAATTGAAAGACACAGAAATTCAATTTTAACATTAACAAGGTAAATTAAAGGAGATAGAACACGAATGGTCAGCTGTTTAAAGTTCCTCTTGGTGGAATAACATAGAAAGTAAAAGTACAAACACCTTTGCTAAATAAGTCTTCTCTAGGATCAGCAATGTAAATATTTTATTTTATCCATGTATTCGTTTTATATGTATATCTATATTATTTATTGTATTACAAGTAGTTATGCAATGCAAAATCAAAAAACATCACACATCAAAGGATTCTCATACACCAGGTAGCTATGAACATATCTCTTCTTATACCAAACAAATTGCGTACAAATGGATGGATAAATAACATCTCGTTATGGTTTTGAGACAAACCATAAACTGAGTGAATTGTAGAATAATACATATTCCATGTTCCTATTCATATTTGGAATATATGTCTAACGAGTTCAAAAGAACAGATGGTAAATTGCTATGCTGTACCATAGGAAGTGTGGAATGTGGGTGTATAGTATAGTAAGAGGAGTGAGGGTCTTCATATGTGTCCTTATATGGCCAGAGTTTTAGCGAAAAGTTATGATGTCATTATCGCCATGTCTATAAAAGAATAGTAGACAAAGGACCGCACTCTGCTGTTTGGCTGTCACCCTGCAATTCTGGACAAAGGTGCTTACTCTCCATCAAACAGCTCCTTTACTGTAACATTGTTAAGCTGTACCATCTGTTAAAGGGTTACTATAGTGCAAGGTATACAAATCAATATTCCTAGCAATATACTTCACTCTGGCCCACACCTCCCTCCCCTCCTCCTCCCGGCCGTGTAAGGGTTTAACAATCCTTACTGTACTTACCCAATTCCAGCGCGGATCTCCCTCGGAGCTGGGTCGGCACTCCGCCCTCTCCAACCTCAACCAACACGGGAACGCTAATGTGCATGCGCAGTAAACACTGCAAGTGCATTAGGACCTCCCCGTAGAAAAGCATTGCTGCAATTCTTTCCTTTTGTGATTTGACTGGCACTGACGAGCGTGAGGACATCCGGCATCAGTTAGGCGACCAAAAGTCCCCTAACTACCAGAAAGTGCCTCTAGTGGCTGGTGAAACTGCAACAATTAACAGAAACTGCAACATTTAACAGAAACTGCAATAATTAACATTGCACGGTTAATTTTACAGGGGCAGAGCACCCAGAACACGTCAATAAGCTAAAGTGGTCTGGGTGCCTAAGGTGTCCCTTTAAGTTTTTTTCAACATATGTATTGCTGATTTCATTGTGAGTAGAATAATTGTATATTTTTTTATAAGGAACATCAGATTGCATATTAATATTTGTGGGTGAAATAGAACTATATTATAGCCATTTATAGAAGCAATCATATAAATAAAAATTATTTCAATGTTATAGCCATTTATAGAAGCAATCATATACATAAAAATAATATCAATCACCTTTACATATACTTATGTATTACAACATCCTGAATGTTGGCTTAAGTATTTATTTTTGCGTAAACAGCTCATAAAAAACAATATTCACCATTCCTGTTCTCTGGCCAAGACTTTGAATTCCTTTGAAGCAATGTATCAGGTTAGGCCAGCTACACACAAATCTTCTGTAAACTGTAATTGTTGCAACATTTGTATTTTTGCTGAGCTTGTATTTTGGGCACAGTAAACTGCCAGTTTTATAACTTCAAAAAACACTCCAAGCACTCTAGTCAGTACAGCTTTCTATAGCAGTTATGCTGTCAGAAGTGCCCTGGCACCCCTAATTGTAAGTAGTCAAATTTTTTTTAATGATTTGACTTCTTATCTGGGATCTGCCAGGCACCGGAGAGACACAAAGTGCTTGGAGTGTTCCTTTCAATTATATTTCTCTCTGAATATGAGCTAATCCTAGGGCCAGACTGGGACCAAATATAGAACTGGGCATATAAATTAAAAGTGGCCCATACACATGCATGCACACACATATAAAAAAATACTTGTAGGCATACAAATATTTAGAAACACATGCGCAGCATACATTCATATAGGCACACGCAAACACACACACTTATACAGACCAATATTTAAATGGGCACCCTTTAAACAAGCTCATACATACACTCATATATATATAGCCACACTCATACAGACCCATACATAGAGGTACCCACTCATACATGCCCATACATAGAGGTACCCACTCATACAGGCCCATATATACAGACGCCAATTCATACAGACTCATATATACAGACGCCAATTCATACAGATCCATATATACAGATGCCAACTTATACAGACCCATATATATAGATGCCCATATATACAGATGCCCATATTTACAGATGCCCATATTTACAGATGCCCATATTTACAGATGTCAACTTATGCAGACTAGCACATAAAGGCTTACATTCTAAGATAAACTCACATGCATGTGAACAACTGCAGCTCCTCTGAGTGATCGCTATATCCAGCTGGTCCATTGTGGTAAGTTGTACTCAGCTTGGACTCTTTGTATAAGTTGTGGCTGCATCTTTTCCTGTATATGTGAAGTGATATAGGTCCAATTTGATCTTTGTTATATTCAGGGGAATTGTTTCAAGGGCACTTGGAGACAGTGGCGGATCCATGGGGGGGCAACGGGGCAATTGCCCCCCCCGAGAAATCCGCCGGTCTCCCTCTCCCCTGCCAGCAGCACATGCAGGTGCTAGCCCTGCAATGTGCCTGCGGACCGGAGGGGATATCAGAGCTCTCCCTCCCGGCACCGTGCTGACAGCCGGCAGGGGAGGGAGAGGGAGGAGAGAGGACCCGGGAGCTCAGGCTGCAGCTCCTCCGGGTCCTCCTCTCGCGAGATTTGCAGCGTTGCCGCGATTACCACGGCAACGCTCCAAACCTCGCGAGAGAACTCTAGCCCAGGAGCGCGGGCTAGAGTTCACTGTCCCCACTGGGACTCGCAGGGAATCACCACTGGGACCACCAGGGGATACGTATGTGCGCAGGCCGGCAGGCCGAAGCGAAAAATCCTACCCTTATCGCACACTCTATACACATACACCCCATACACACACATTGCCCCCATACTGCTCCCCATAGACACACATTGCCCCCCATACTGCTCTCCCATAGACACACACTGCCCCCCATACACACACACACTGCCGCCCATACACACACACATTGCCCCCCATACTGCCCCCAT